TCGCCGCTCAGGCCAAGCTGGTTTACCAGCTCAATAAATACTACACTGAGCGCTGCCAGGCGCGCAAGGCGGCCATCGCCAAAACCATTCGAGAGGTCTGTAAGGTGGTCTCGGACGTGCTCAAGGAAGTGGAGGTGCAGGAGCCTCGCTTCATCAGCTCCTTGAGCGAGATCGATGCCCGCTACGAAGGGCTTGAGGTCATCTCGCCCACCGAATTTGAGGTGGTGCTCTACCTAAACCAGATGGGCGTCTTCAACTTCGTGGACGACGGCTCGCTGCCCGGCTGCGCGGTGCTCAAACTGAGCGATGGGCGGAAGCGGAGCATGTCTCTCTGGGTCGAGTTCATCACGGCTTCGGGCTATCTCTCAGCGCGTAAGATCCGCTCACGTTTCCAGACGCTGGTGGCTCAGGCAGTGGACAAGTGCAGCTATCGGGATGTGGTCAAGATGATCGCGGACACCAGCGAGGTCAAGTTGCGCATCAGGGAGCGCTACGTGGTGCAAATCACACCGGCGTTCAAGTGCACCGGGATCTGGCCTCGAAGCGCGGCACAGTGGCCTATGCCCCACATCCCCTGGCCTGGCCCCAATCGGGTGGCCGAGGTCAAGGCCGAAGGGTTCAACTTGCTCTCGAAGGAGTGCTACTCGCTAACCGGCAAGCAGAGCTCGGCGGAGAGCGACGCCTGGGTGCTACAGTTCGGGGAGGCGGAGAACCGCCTGCTGATGGGCGGCTGCCGAAACAAGTGCCTCTCGGTGCTGAAGACTCTGCGGGACCGCCACCTGGAGCTGCCCGGCCAGCCGCTCAATAACTACCACATGAAGACGCTGCTGCTGTACGAGTGCGAGAAACACCCGCGAGAAACGGACTGGGACGAGTCGTGTCTGGGCGACCGGCTCAACGGCATCCTGCTGCAGCTCATCTCCTGCCTGCAGTGCCGCCGCTGCCCTCACTACTTTCTGCCCAACCTCGACCTCTTTCAGGGCAAGCCCCATTCTGCCCTGGAGAGCGCTGCCAAGCAGACCTGGAGGTTGGCCAGGGAAATTCTCACCAATCCCAAAAGCCTGGACAAACTATAGGGTGCTGGGGACTGCTTGAAAAGCGACACAAACGGGCGTGCTCTCTCAGACACACAACACACAACTCAGCGATTAACAGCAGAAACTCTGGACACAAACTTTTATGTAAGTCACCTGAAACAAACAGGAATCAGGCAGAAGACCTTCGTTAATTAAGAAGCAAACAAAAAGAGAGCAACCCAACCAAAACAAATCACATTCTTGCACAAAATGATCGTTTTCTTCCAAACAATGTGAATTTAAAAGGTCACACAAAAGAAGCAATCGGGCTGTGCCACCACAAAATGAAACCCAAGGTACATTTTCAAATCAATGTATAGTAGTTTCTCCCTTTTCCTTCTTTCCCCCATCCTTTTTCTCTCCACCTCCCCCTCCCATTTCGTTTTATTTTTGGTTGCCTGAATGTTGTCACCAAGTGAAAAAATTATTTAACTATATGTAAAATTTCTCTTTTAAAAAAAGTTTTACTGATGTTAAACGTATCTCAGTGCCAATGTCAGATTGTGCCCCTCCCTCTCCTGCACCTCTACCCTCACCCTGAGCCGTCTTGTTGAAAACAGTAATAAAAACATTACTTTACATTGTAATTGACTGTTTGTGGATTGTTCTTAAATGAAGGCAGGTGAGATCACAGTTCATAATTTGCAATGTAAAGATGTGAACTCGAGGAACCAAATGCAAGAAGCTCCCATTTGAACTGACTTGCAAAATTTAAAATACAGCACATTATGCAGAATTGACTGTACAAGTTCCCACCCCAATCCTTAGAAAATAGAAAACATTAATTTTACTCAACTGTAATATATATATTTGTTCTGTAGATGTTAAGATTAAAGGTAACATCTACTTTGAATTTGGGGGAGAAAGTATGAAAAAGATTTTGATCCTAATTTTTAAAGTAGAAAAAAACTTTTTCACGTTAAAAATTAAGAGATGACCTTTCTTATGCCATAATTTCAAAAAATCCAATCTGAATCCGATATACAAAGGAAATATTTATGGATGTTTTCTGGATAGTTAACAAAGTCAGTTGATACTTTTCCTTCAACCGTTTGTCCTCTTCAAGCTTTGAGTAAAAAAATTTAACAATTAAACCACAACAAAAAAGAATAAAATGGTTATAGCAATAATCCTCTCCCCCAGCATATGGTGATATCAACCATTCAGATTTATAAATTACTTTCATTTTAAAATGGCTTAGTTATAAATTCCATAATTATAATTATTTTAATCAAATTTCAAGAATTATTCTGAAACTGCTTACATGCATTTCAAACAAAAAAGGTTTTCATACCATTTTTATAACCAAAGAAAAATTATTGTTCCAGGAATTTACAAATAGGAAAAGTACTTTCCTCCTCTTTCTGTTTTTCTAAGGTAACCAATATACTCAATTTCAGTGTTTCACCTTTAACAAAGGTTTGTTTTTAATGCAAGGGAATAACTGATTAGAAAATAACACAATTAGTCAAACTGGAAGTATCCCAAAGGAATTGGTTTGTCTTCTTTACGTTGAAGGTAACTATATACTCCATTAGTTATGCTAATGGTGAGACATAGGTATAGAATATATGTCAGATGTTACCCTTTAATATCTGACATTTATTCTCTGTATTAGCCCAGTTTTTAATTTATTGAGAAAATGCACAAACTAGAGGTATAGAGAAAAATGTTTTTAAAAAGCAATTTTAAAGATCAGAGGAAGAAGTTTGAGAGGGGGAAGGGCTGTATGGAGGGATGAGCAGCAGGATAGCAGAATAGATGAAAAACAAGAAAGCCACTCAGGGGTCTGAAGCCTAGTTCACTTGACAAACAGGCTTAAGTTGTAAGATTCCCTGGTAAAAATAGTCCTGTGTTAAAAATATAAACTTTGATTTTATCAGTTCTGAAATCACCTTTACTCTTTCAACTCAAACTGTATTGTATCGGTTTTTCTAGTCTCTCTTCCTGTATTCCACACAGTAATTCAGAAAAATACACAAATTCTTTTAAATTATAAAAACCAATTTATTCTCTGGGGAAAATGTTCTGAATTTTAAAAACATTTTCAAACAAACAGGAGGTGCTTACATTTGCACAAAATGATTTAAAGGAATAGTGTTTAGTTTAAAAGATAAAAATAATATCTATAAATTACCATTTTTCCCTCACAAGAGTATTTGCAGCATTAGACATACATAACCCTCCAACTATTCCAAAAAAAAAAAAAGAAATTTTTAAGCCTTGATAAGAACAAAAATATCCCCAATTCAACATATTTTCTTCTTCCTTATTTAATTTAATGGAGGTATCAGTAAAAAAAGAAAAACAGTGCAGCAACATAAATGTCCTCTTTTACAGAACACCTTAAAGCATTAACATCTATACAAAATTAAAACTTCTTCCAGTAACTGAAATTTTTTTTTTTAGTATAAATTGCCAGGAGTTTTGACTTCTGGAATATAAGGAAGGCTTCAGTGATACAAGACCATTTCTTGATTACGCCAAAAGATCTCCACATTTCCCAAGCAACCAGAAAAAAATTAATTTACTGATGCAGTACAGGTTCAGATCAGAGAGAAATAAAACTTGTAACTTCTTTATAAGGAGCAAATAACTTCAAAGAACCTAATCTCAAAGATTGGCAGAGATTCTAATTTTCAGAACAATTCATTAGACCCCTTAAAATTAAATCAAATTTTAGACTTTGATCTATATGTGTCTAAAAGCATGATAGAATGTCCTAAATTAAATCCCAGACTTTCTTAAATTCAGAAATTACCAGAAATCAGAGAGTTTAATTTTGGTACCTTCCTTTCCTAAAGAAACTAATGCATTTTCAGACATTTCAGTCATGGGATAAAGTAGAAACAATTTATAATTGCTAGAATTTCAGAATTAGCAAGTTTTCTCTACATTAGATTAGCTAACTTATCAAGCTCAAAACAGTCAGCTCCATACAATCTACCAAGTCCTGTCTTAATAAAGGCAGCAACATTTAAACCAAGTAGTGGAAATATGCATAAGACAAGATATGATTTATCTGTACAGTTTTAAATAAAATTATAACATTTGCATCAAGGGCTACTTTGAAATATTTCTAAATCATTTAGATTTAATAATCCACATAATTATAAAATCGAAGAACCTTCTACCAATAAACTCAAAATATGTGTATGTATATACATGCTATCAACTTCCAAAATAAATTATTCCACTTTTTAAACCACGTTTCTCTACAGATTGCTTACTTTACTCATTTTTAAAGAAACTGCTTCCTCTCAGAGCAAATTCTACCATTCTTTTTCTTGAAATAAGCCTAATTTTGGCTTTTATGACTGTATTACAAATGTTTCTTTGTAAAAACAAAGTTGCCATGGTCTGAAAAGCAATGAGAAATACATTTTAAAGGGGAAATTACATTTTCATTTAAGAACAGAATATTATGCAGTGCCTTGTAAAATCTACTATATAGGTAATAGGAAACAGAGGTATCTCGCACACACAAAACATGCTTGCATGCACGACAGAGTAGTAAGTCATGGGGACAAAGCAAGGAGAGTGATATATTGGTATCATACCCAGAAAACATAAAGGCTAAACAAAATAATTCCACTTTCAATCTCACTGAATTTTGTATCTTAATTCACCCTTGACCCTTTGAGGCAAAATATATTTATAGATGATACTCCCTGAGGTTCCTTCCCCTCCTCACAAAGAGCTAATGATAAATGCCATTAAGTAGTATTTGTTTTTGAATCTAAATGAACTTCAATAATCTAACTGGTAGGGAATCATAAGCTAAAGAAGATAATGACATTGCATATAAGCCAAGGCAACTTAGAAGAAATTCAAACTAAGCCTGTCAGATTTACCAATGCCAATCCACCCAACAGCACCCACCATCCCATCATAAGAAAAAATGAAACCCCCTTATCTTCTCACCTTGGGGTCGATTTTTTTGAAGTTAGGGTCCTCTTCATCCACCTCAAAATAGAGTTCGGAGGAGGTAACAGAAAGAGTGCCCTTTACTACAACGGAGGGGGCCACAAGCTGAGCTGGTGTGCTCAGGCTAACAGGACCTGCCAAAAGGAAAAGACAAGCCACACAAGTTGGAATGACATTTTTCAAAAAAATCAAATTCGACCTGAAATTGTATTTAATCTTTTCATTCTCACTTCTAATACTGAACTGCCTGCCAACTACTTCTACACTTACATATTCTGTCCACCCCAAATCTTCCTCTGAAAGTGCAAAGTCAGGGTTCTCATACTAGAAGATTTATAACAGGCGGTTAATGATAATAGTAAACTAGGATGCAATTATTTTACAGGGAGTCTGCAAAGCTTTGGTCTAATCTCTAGGTAAGAAGGTGGCTCTGCCTAAATAAGTCCATCCACATTCCATTTAGAAAACAAGCCTCAGGCTATCTAACAACATGAACAACAACCAGGAGCAAGGAAGCCTCAATAGGCTTCCAAGGCCAGGGGTTAGCTTGCAGTATGGTAGAGGCACGACTACAAAAAGATCACTAGCTTATTAATGAAGTGGGAAATGTTAAACCATACTTTCTGATAGAGATTTTATGCCAGCTTGACACAAAACCTCTCCCATAACAACTTTACCCCATCGATGACTGGCAAAAATACTTATTTTCTAAGCCTTCCTTTCCACTGTTAAGTATTGTTCAATGCTTCACAATCTAATATTAGTGTAGTTCAGGGACTCTGGGAGTAAACAGCTGGAGGGTGGGTTTCCAAGTGAATGAATTTTTATTGGAATAATCAAATCTCCGCAGGGATTATCAAAGAGACAAATCAGACTGCTACTGAAAACAACAGATTCACTACAGATAGAACAGCATAATGTATATTCGAACTAAAAATATGAACTAAAAATAATGTTATATATACATGTGTGCATACACACACACACACACACACACACACACAGAGAGAGAGAGAGAGAGAGAGAGAGAGAGAGACTGATGTAGAAAGAATTTGGAATTCCATTGTCAATTCCTCATGGTATAAATCCTACAGGGGAAGAAAACAGCATAAGAGAAGATTGGCACCTATAGTTCTGAATTAATATAGTGTCTATAAACAAGGTGTGCCTATTCAGGTAATCAATGAGTGAATAAGTGTTTCAAAATTCAGATGAATTGACATTTCCATCGATTGTTAGAAGGGTGATAGTGCTTAATCTCACATCAATCTTAATGTGTGCCAGTAGGACAATAGAAGGGATGCTCTGCGGAGATCAGAGCAGGTTTTGCCCTCTATTCCCAATGTACAAATACATTGTGTTTGCAGATGGGCAGCAGATAGCTCCAGAACAGCCATGATTTCCCAAAGCTCATCCCTATAAATGGATGAAATAAGAAGCTATGTGTTCTTTTGCTGTCTCCTTTTGCCCTCTGTACATTAGCATGTAATACTGAGAAGAAATAACATTTTTTCAATCACTCTCAGACATTCAATTACAGAGTAAGCAGACAGCTGCAGGAGCTAGGGCAGCCTAGGTCCTACAGAAGACCCCTGACAATTTCCACTTCATTTCTAACCCACACCACTTTATTAGTGTGGATTACTTCTTAATCCTATTGCCATTGTCAAGATTATATAATTAAACTACCCTTTCACCTCTATTACTGTATGAATGTATTACTAGTAGCAAGAATAGAAGCAAAATAAAGGAGGAAATGGGTAAAGGGATGTGAAGGAAAAAACTACAGAAGAGCAATATCTACCTTACTCTCCTCTCCTACCAATTAATTTTATTTTACTTTACAGAGAGGTTTACAGTTGTCAAAGAAGATACCATCTTCTCTTTTTGCTTTTCATTACCAAGTGGCATAGTAGCACAGATTGCAGATGTATCACCAAATGCAAGATTTTTAATGACTTTTCTCTTAAAATTATCAAAATTGAAGACTATGTAATTTTTACCTATAGAAATTATAGAAGCCTTCAGACTTTCTTCCTTGAGGGGCAGAGCCACAGGTATTAAAGTAAAAAAGCCATTTAATGAATGACTAAAATTTCCGGCTAAACAAGATAATTTTTCCCATAAGGGATGTAAAACTGAGAATCTACAGAGTGCAAATCAAAATTCCTACATCAGGCAAAATACATGAATGTTGTGAAAAGTCATGGCATTCTTGGAATTGATTTGAGAGAGTTACATGCATATACAGCATGTTCACTAAGACCTGTATATCAAATCAAATAGCTCCTCTCCCTCCAAGCTTTATTTCCAAAGAAAACAAAACAAAAAAAACTGGCAGAATTTTACTTATAGTCCTAATTTACAGAGATTTGGTAGCTTCTATGGGATGGGAAAAGCAATTTTGTTCTTTTGTTGCTGCTTTTAAACTTTTTTCTTTTTCAGTGAAAATTATTCATAAAAGAAAAAAAATGAGGAGAGTAAGAAGACTGAAGAGAACAGAAAAATAAAAGAGAAACTGTAGAAAATAAGGGGGGAAGTGTTTGAAATAACCAATTAATGTAACTGTGGGTGTAAGCTTGGGAGTCCTAGTGGTCACAGCTGAAAAAGTAAGTAATTAGATGCTTATTGTCCCAGGGGTAGCTGAAATAGCTGCACGGCCACCAAATTTACCAGCAAGATTCTCTAAATCTTTCTCATCTACGGATGACAGAGTATCATCATCGCCTTCCAGGAAGATCTCGTTTTCTGAGTTCTGATTTCCCAAAGCCTGACTCTTGATGGATTGTTTTCCTTTAGCAAGGATATCTTCATCTGTGGCTGAAATGAAAAGGAAACAAAGCTGTCCGTCAGTTCTGGGAAGAGCACTTCGGCAGAGGGGTAGGAGCTTAGGTAAGGGTAGGTGGCCAAAGATGGTCAATCTTTTATACACAGAGTCAGCCACAGTGAGAAAGTGATTGGGATGGCACGCACGCCTGTTCTGACAAACTCGATCCCTCAACCTAGTCTAACGTTACCCTAAACAAGCACCATAATCCCATTAAATCTGACCCCTGCACTGCTCACCATACCATTTATTTACTTATAGTTAGGGCAGGAGTGGGTTCAAAAGCAGTACTTTTTTTGAAAACTCATTAATAGGAACAATCAAAACCCAGTTTTGGAAACAATATTTATTTAACGCCAAAAAATAAGGACTGATTCATTTCCCCAAATAATATCATACTGACAAACATGGTTGAGAAGTGGCTGTGGAGGAGAGTCCGGAATTAAGGGTCGAAGCTAAGAGACATTCACAAGCCAATGAGGATTTAGGCCCAGATACTGAAGCCATATCTGACACTAACAAGACTACAGCAGCTCCTTGAAGCTGCAATCCCTTCTTTATCCACCCTCCTTCCTTCACATTACTCTTGTCCACATGTTCACACATACACTCACTCCTCTGCCCTTTCGCCCCTTATACAAATATCCAGGAGCAAGGCAGTGTGGAAACTAAGTGGAAGCTCAAACACTACCTCCTCTGCCTGTTTAAACTAAAGGGCTAAGGCACCCCGGGGGCAAACATAACAGAAAGCCTGGGAGGAGAGGCATGTGGGCAAGAGGCCTCATGCGGCCTAAACTGGAGCAGCCTGTGGAGAGCAGCAGTAGCAGACTCAGGCACTGTGACAAGGCAGCAACTGCAGGCAGAAGGAGGAATAGAGAATACCACATCTAGGAAGGGAAGAAGCAGCTCTGCAGAACACCTACACTTAACAATGGGATCCGACAGGGGAGCAGAGACACAACAGAAAGAGGAAAACACTGAAATTCAAAACTCTGATTCAAAGCCCGCATCCTTCCAGGGCCCCTCTTGTTGTTTTAAGCAGCTTTCTCCTTACGAAAAGCAGGAAGGCAGATGCTAACTTCTAAATTGTGATTTGTAAAACCTCATATGTGTGTTTTTTCCTAATCTTCTTTTTTTGAATGGTGTCATATAAGCCAAAGTTAACAATCTTCACCTGACCCTCCTGGCTTTCAGCTAGATAAATCTCTGAGGTAAAGCACCTGATCCACCCAGGCTGCAGCTATTGATATGGAAATCGGATGGCTAGGTTTTTTTGCTCCACTGCAGCTTCTGCCTAGGCAAAAGGCCCAAACCTCAGAAAGAATAAAGCAGTCAATTTGCAGTAACATGACTAATATATAATCCATATAATTTATTCTAAATAGTTAAACTGCACATGTGTTACCTGATTAATTTGGCAGATCAAAGGTTCTTGGGGTTTGATAGGTACGTTTATGGATGATGCTAAAGGTAAAAGTTGTTTTTCTCATATTTATTGGGAATTCACCATGTACAACATATAACATTTATATACAATACTTATAGTGCTGCTTAAACAAACATTGGAGTTTCTATTTAATAAGAAGTCATAGGAAGAAGCTTTCTATATTTACCTTTGAATACACTCTATGGGTAAATAAAACCTTTCATACCCACAGGCTGTATTGTAAGCTACACACACATATGATGATCTGGACACACGTTTGAAAAGATTACTTTAATGTATCTAATTAAAGTGGCTTTATTTATTTATTTATTTATTTTGAGACAGGGTCTTGCTCAGTCACCCTGGCTGAAGTGCAAAGGCACAATAACAGATTACTACAGCCTCTACCTCCTAGGCTCAAGTGATTCTCCCAGCTCAGCCTCCCAAGTAAGTGGGACCACAGATGCTCGCCACCATCCCCAGCTAATTTTTTTTATTTAATTTAACTTTTTGTAGAGGAGAGGTATCACATTTTGCCCAGGCTGATCTCGAACTCCTGGGTTCAAGCAGTGCTTTCACCTTGGCCTCTCAAAGTTGCTGGCATTACAAGCATTAGTCATCTAACCTGGCCTTTTTTTTTTTAAATGCTAAAAAGAAATATACTTACAATTAACCAATAATTTTTGGGAAAACAGAAGTATGTTCTAAAATCACTTATATTTCAAGTATTGATATTTCCTTACCCTAAAATCAGAAACACTGACCTTAGGCTAAGCAAGATACTTTGCAATTTACTATCAACTTTATTAAAAATGTACTGGCTACTGAGAAATGCAAATGAAGCACCATCTTCTAGATGTTTTTATAAAGTAAATTATAATAAATTATTATTTGCCAGTTAGATTTTAGTACAGAATCAGCATACTACATTCTTTTCATTTCTTGGATTTACAATTCCTTCTTCAAAGCAGAAATATTAATAATAAGGCTAATATTACATACCATTTTGCATGAGCCGGGGAGTGTTAAAAATACATAGTTAACTCATTTAATTTTCATGAACCTTATGCTAATTTATAATTTTAAGATAAGAAGACAGGCTCAGAGAGGTTACATAATTTGCCCAAATTAACATGGCTTTTGACAATTAGAGTCAGGATTTTAAAAAAGGCAGCACAGTGCCAGAATCTGGGTTCTTAACCACTATGCCATACTAGCTCTTACAGGTAAGAAAATGAAAGAAAACAAAAACAACCACTGTTCAAATATGAACATATATATAATTAATTTGTTTACTAATTCTTATCTCTTATAGTGCATTTTAAAAGGTTAAATCAGAATAAACAAGAACAAAAAATATTCATTTCCAAATCTAAATCTGATGAACATGCCAAACACATCAGAAACAGCTAAATTCAACGCCCTGCTCATTACTTCCTCTGATTATTGCCATACATGTCCTAAAGTGCACCAAGCTTATTTGAAAGGAAAAAAGAAGAAACTTCTTTAATCTACAAATATTTACAAAAAAATTAGGGTCCCCAATGGCAATATGTAATGGTTTAAAATAGCTCAAAAAATAAATTCACATTCGTTTAAATGATCACAAAAAATAAGATTAACCCTTCCAATTGCAATTTAAAATTTTTAATTATGTTCTAATCATGCTGCCTATATTATAACACAGTAAGATAGCTTCTGAATTAAAGTTTCATTAAAAATTTTACATACTATAAGTGTACTGTATGCATACACACACCCACTTTTATTTATTTATTTACTTATTTTTACAAGCTCAGATTCTGGAATTGTTCAAGCTCCACTGAAAAACCTCTTGTCATGGAAAATATGCAGCTTACTGATATTTAGAATGGTTTTCCTGTAATTAACTCCCCCTTGAGGATTTTAAGTTAGCAGCAGTAAAATTACCAACAGTACTCTAATATACACCACATGCGCTGGTATTCAATTCTCAGTGGTCTAATAGCTTTCTGCTAAAGAAATTTAAAAAAAAAAAAAATTAGAACAAAACTTTTCCAAGCATAAAATAAAAGATTATTATCATGTTTATATGTGCTGGGGACAAGTATATTTTAACTTCCATTTGTGTTATTCTCAATCAACCATTATAAACAAGTATTTTGATACCTTCTATGAATATATTCTACACTAGTCCAAAAGTTAACTGAATGAAGTCAGAATATATTTTGGGTTCCATTTTAAAGCTCATTTCAGATATTTCTAGGTAACAAAATTGTTACTAATGTGATCATTGTTTAAATTTTTCATATCACTATTAAGAAATGCCTTTTATTCTGGTTTAATTTTGCCTTTTATTCTGGCTTAATATTTATCCCAGCTTAATAATTAATGCAATTGTTACATGAAATTGGAGAAATCTGTCAAAAATGCTGTCTTTAAAAATGATTTGATTCACTGAGGCTAAAAACAACAAAAGATCTAAGAGAGAGAGGCTGGCCCTCAAAACGTAAAATTCAAGTTCTTTAGAGCTAACTCTGGACATGAGTTGATTCATCTATCCAACACAAAGCAGGTAAGTAGAATTAAAATATAAAAAGAGCAAAAACACACAAAACTGTTCCACCTTCAATATAAATCCTTTTCAAACATGTACTGAGCAAGTGAACTGGAATCATCAATAGTCTATATCAAAGTAAAATAAGTTTATACTTTAAGAATTAGCCACTTTAAAAAAGACTACTATTGGAATAACAAAGTGCCTTCAAACATACATAAAATAAAAATGGGTACATACTTAGTGTAATGTGAAGCACACACTATAACTGTATTTTGAACAGGACACATAAAGAATAACTTATAATCAACTATTGTTCTAATCTAACTGATTCCCCTCTGTACTTTATGCCATGTCCATAGCATTCCAAGTCAAGAAAATTGACTCTGAAAAAAAATTAATTAAACTACAAAGAATGAGCAGAAGAACAAGCCATGTGCATCTCCTAATAACCATGGGTTACCGAAAATTTTAGATAGAGAACATAGTATACGTTGATCCTAAAAAGCAAGCAACATTATCTGGTATTATTGAAGTTATGAGAGAATGGAATGATTTAAGATCTTTACATGATCTGTCATCCCTAGAAAACCAAATGAGTTACTTGTATCATTCCATATGCTTACAAGATACTTTTAAATCTATGTTAAATTCTCATTATGTATTTCTATTAGCAAGTACATTCTCTACAAAATAAAAATGTCTTGAATTCAATAGGGTTCTCTGCTAAACTGTTTTAGCACCTGAATTAAAACCAATCATTCTACCATTTAAAACACTTTTTATGTGGCTTTAATTTGAATATAAAATTCCCATTATATTTAATAATAAATTTTAGAAGACAGCACAGCACACTGATATGAAAATGTAGGCTTCAGTCAGTTAACCTGGGCTTTACTCCTTTATCTACCAAAAATTATATTGGCCCTTTGTTTCCTCAGTTTCCTTATCTGTAAAGAATAAAGTTAAACCAGATGTTAGTCTTAGGTTCCTTCTACATCCAAAATGCTCTGATAATAATTAACTGCTAACCTGGGCTCTGGCATTAGAAAAATGTTACGAATCATTGCTAATAATTTCTAATAAATTTTAAAACTATAAAATGAAAGAAAATGCCCTCAAGAATAAAATACTCAGCTTTGCCTGAGCTGATAATTTCCATAAAGAATATTTAATCATAAGAGGAAGTATTAATTTTAATTTAAAAATATGACTCAGTTTCTGCAAAGTTAAAGAAATCTCCCATTACAACATGACTTTTATAAATAACCACTTTGGAGGGTCTCTGTTTGAAAAATTACCTAAAGCTTTTTTCCCCAAGCAAGTTAATGTGAACTTGGGAAGGGCAATTAAATTGTCAGAATTAAAAAATTTGTTTTTAACTAGAAGGTAGGCAGAAGTAGAGTCATGGGGCTGGTATTGATCGTCCAAACAGAGAACATCACTCTTCAGGTATTTACTCTGCCACCTTTACACTAGAGGCTTTCCTTCAAATCAAATCAATCTATAAAAAAGATGGCTCTTTCTACTAAAATACATAGCTAATCTCCAATGGCACTTCTATTTATATGTCTTGCTTTGATAATGATAATACAGTTCATGGTGTTTTAAGATTCAGCATTTTTTAAATGTCCTGTCTCCTTAGTTAAATAAATTATATATAAAGGAAGTCATAAAAATATAGGATTGACATACTATCCTCATTAATATCTATTTTAAGTATTTAAATTCAACATTTAAAGCACAGTATCCATGTTAAAAATCTATTAATTTCAACTACCTTTTGATCACATTAACAATTTTGTTTGGCATACTTAATTCTTAATACGTTCATTTTGATTAGCTTCTTTAATGCTACAAAAAATTTAAACACCAAATTAAAATTGAATGTCACTATCAAATACTTTACTTAATAAACCAGTAAAAAATTAAGCTTTTTGTTTACAGAATATATTAGCATAAATTATGCTGACATCAAACAATACCATAACACAATCTATGTGCTGAACTGACTTCCTTATTGTTTAAAATAAAATAAATATGAGGTATAATTAGAATTTGCTTTTTCAAAAAATTTTATTTAAATATGATATAGCTCTGTAATTGTACGACAAGTGAAGAATCTTCTACACATTTAGATTTTTAAACATGTATTTCAAACTCAAATTTTGTTCATAATATTTTGGAGTGTGATAATAATTACAAGATTACTATAAAATATTACTCAATGCTTACCTTTGCTATTACCTCTCAATTTAAAAATGCACAATAAAATATAGATAATTAACATTGTATTAACCTTTCAATTACTGCCTAGAGTAATCAGAGTGAAATCTGCTTCTACATACATCAAAAGAGTCTTAAATGATAGTAAAAGCATGCTAATAAATGTTTTTTTGTCAAACATTATTGCAGATGCTTAGCATTTAAAAAGCTGACAAAACAACATGATTTTAAAAGATAAAGTTCAACAATTAATATTTATTCATTATTAAGAATCCTGTAATTCTTCAAAATGTTTAAATGTACTATTTTTGATAAGAATATATTTTAGTAAATTCTGTATTAAATCTATACCACAAATTTTAAATTGAATTATTGATATCTAAGGATAAAATATTAAGTTTGTCTATGTTCATTTTAGAAAACAAATCCTCCCATTCCAGATATAAAAGTAAAAGGTTTTCATAAAACATAGTACCATGTATAGATCTCAGAACTCACAAATTACTGTAAAGGATGTTTTAGAAGATAAAAAATTAAATTTCAAATTTTAAGTGCACATGGTAATACATTTTGCTGAAAATTGCAAAAAACTTCACTTTCTTAATGTAAGCATCATTAACCAAAAACAAACCAAAAAACACAAAAAGAAAAAAACCCTCTGAAATCTGTTATCACCACATAAAAAGTATATGTACTATAAAAACAAAGTGGCCTAATTAATTTTACATTTTATTTCTCTTTATCCACCTCCTATAGTTGAAGATGCAGGGCCATGAGACTGTTATTGCTTTTAGATCACTTCGTTATTGACTATTCTCCGTAAGATCATTTATTTTAAAGGACTGATGTCACATTTGGTGTTATATCTGATGACATATTGTGGACATTTTCTTCTAGAAATGGTTCCTTAACGCTGAGTGCAAGAGGTTAAGCTGCCTGACTGAGGCCAAATCTAAGATTACAGACTGTTAATCTAAATTCTTAATATCCTTATTGAATATAAATTAACATTTATTTTGTATACTACATATTTCCATTTAACCACAAACTGCTACATGTTAAACCAATACCCTGAAAAAGGAAAATTAAAAGTATTTCAGACCTTATTATAAACCAATTTGTATTTTGTAAAATCAGAATAATTTTAATGTGGGGAGGAGCATTTTCTCCTTCATCAATATTTCTTAATTGACTTTCAAAAATCATAAAATAATGAGTGAAATTCTATGATAAAAAATACAGTATCAAATCCAAATGATCTTTTCAGTTTTTCCAATTTACTTATCAGACTTCTACCTAAACTGAATCATAGTCATATGTACTGTAACAAAACAGAAAAAATGTTTTGTTAAGCTCTGATAACAAAATAATACAGAATAGTAACATATGAAAATAATGTTTATTCTTTTTCCATGAGCCATCTATCATAACCATCTACAAATCAAGACTCAGAAAGTATCTAGGCACTTGGATATTTATTACTATCTTTCCCACTTCATGATTTCATGATAAAATACCATGACTGCGGGAAAACCATGTGAACACAACAGAACCTAGAAATATATCTGGTTTGCAAATGCTGTCTTTCTGATATTCATGGATTTAAGGCAGGCCTCCTGGATTCATTTGCTAAAAGCTGAATGTGTCACTTAAAATGAGACATATTTAATCCTTGTACTCTGAAACAAAGGGTCTATGTTAAGTAAGTTTTGTATGTGTAACATAATGAATAAATATACTTGACACCATAATTTAATAGGACTCTATAGTAACTATAAAAAAATTAACTTTTCTTTCTGGTTTGAATAACCATGAAATGTGGTGTTGGACCATTTTACAGTGCCTTGTAATAATGAAGTTATGCTCTTCATTACCAAGTGCTGTACCTGCTGCTATTGGCAAGGAATGGTTTATACACTGACCATGTTCCACGGCTGTTTTTAGTGTCGCTTCAGGATGTGTCGATCCTAGAGGGTTACGCACAAATCGTCGCCGGCGCCGCAAGTCATCTTCCCAGTAGTCAAGGCGCCAGAACTCACGAGGACGACTACAATGAAACAGAGAAGCCACATATGTTAGCAATTATCAAACAGCGTGGTAGCACTGAATTTCTGCATAAAGCTCTCCTTGTTTGCTCTGTCTTTTTTTCCCTCTCCTTCCTCTTAATTCTCCCTCCATCTCACACTCCCCTTTCTGCAATCTTTAACTTAGGTATGTCCTTGAAAATAACAATATCACCTTCTAGTCTAAGGAACTCCTTTTCCTTTTCTTGGAAGGTGAAATGAGCACTAAATACATCATTTTGAAATGAATTGCTGACAGTGTGATCAGTTTCCCCACACTCTAGTGGCATGTGCTCTGATTTCAGCCTCATTTCAGCCTCAGCAGGGCACCTTTCTCTGTAGCTGCATTTATAAACCAGAATAGGGAAAAGGCTATTATAAATATGGTATAGCATTACCTATATTAATCAAAGTCCGTCCCCCTTCATTTTTCTTCCTAATTTGTGCCTTTTTGCACAAGGTCAGTAAATCATACCATGAATTCTTGGTCTAGAAAGTGTTAATTTTAATGAATATCTCAGTTACATGGTTATGTATGTGATAATAAAATATTACTCTGTTTAGATGTGCAGGAATTTAATTAAAATAATCTCTTAAAATATTCATTACATTTAGCCCCTGAGGCTGAGAACAGCACAAGAAAATGCATTTCTTTTCCATTTACTGTTTTTAAATAAACCATTCCTGTAGAGTGAAACAGCAATCTATTTTCAAGCAAATCAGATTGGATTTCTGTTTTATGTAGTCTGTTTTTGTATTTAATTAAAAACTACATGCTATATGATGTGTAATAATTGCTATATCGAAAACATACTTTTGGAAATATATTTTTTTTAAAAAAAGGTTTGCTCATTTCAAATTCTATATTTTCCCCTATTACATAGACATTTTATATGGCAATACATAAATGTCAGCTTTCTCTCTTGTTAACTAATCATGATCTAGCATGCTGGAAAAATATTTTATAAGGAAAATGCTAATTTTTTTTAGTTATAGTATGAAAAAACTTCTGTAGAATATATTAATTCAATGAAGACATAAAGCATGAACACCTGTAAGTTTCAATAATGAAATTAAAAAATTATTCATAATCAAAACTTCTTCAGGAATGACTAATACAAAATAAAATGTTACTTATATTTCATGAGCTAATAAAATTGTATCTGTCAGCTTTGACAAATAAGTAGTCTTGAACAACTGACAGTCCCAAAATGCCCAAGAAAAAGTTACCTTTATTTTGATGTTTTAAAGATGTTATCTTTAAAAATTCAAAATAGGTTTATAAATAAGTACTTTTATCAATTAAAAAGTATCTTGTATTAATAAAAAGCATAAACAAACTACATTATTTTAAAAATCTTTTTAAAACAGTAGAGACCAATCTCTGAAAATGCTCAGGGGATAATAAGAACGTCAAACATTTCCTTTGTTGATTTTGGTCAGGAGAAGGAGATAAAATGTAATCAAAATGTGTTTTTAAAAAGTATAAGAATTGCAGTCCTCAAAAAGAAAAATTAAAAAGCTATTATATTTTTCTTCATTATTCTGTCTAAATTTTAAATAAAAACACTATAATATAATTTTAAAATAAATAAATACCCACAGAATATATATACACTCAAAAGAAAACGGTTTTTGGAACTTAATTAATAAAATGAAATTCTCCTTAGGTGAGAAGGAAAAAGGCAGTACACAGATGGTATGTGTATGGCTTTGATAGTCATGGAGCTTGGATAGGCACTTCATCATTCTGCCTACCTACATTTATCTGTTAAAATTATTATCAAATATCAGCCAGGATGCAGTCGTGAATCACAGGCTGCTCCTCGTCTTCAGGGGAATGATACAATGAGGGTCTATTCATCAGTGCAGCAATCGGCACAAGTAATTAGTTTCCTAGACTGAGATCTCCTACAAAGCCTATTTCAGTCAGCACCACAAACATATGATGATGTAAAGCTAATGAAAGCTGCTCAAATTTGTTAACCTTTTCTGCCATCAATCCTTCTAATACTCTATGCTTCAGTATTATGCAAAGGTAGTAAATTATTAATTTGTCATTCATCCATCCTTCTGCATTTTGAGTCAAATTAAATGATGTCATTATTCTTGATAACAATTAAAATTATAAGATGTTAAGCTGCTATGATAAAATTATTACTAAATTAGGTAACAATAGATTCTACTATAATGCACCATAGTGAAGTCAAATTCAATGGCTATTAAAGCATATGTACAATAACTTTTGTCACACAGCAGAAAATCCAGAGGAATTATAAAATTATTCACAAATTATCAAGTAACTCAAAGATAATATCTATAAGAAAAATAACCAAAATTAGGAGGAAATAGAACTATAATATTTATTTTTATACTCTGACACTAACAAAAAACGGTCAAAATGGTGACATTTGGCTAAATCAAAAAAATCAGTACATCAGGGAACTGAGAATTTGTTCACATAATAGAAATGAAAGTTAAGTTTCATTTATGCTAACTATATATATATATTTATGTATATGTACACATACATACTGTTTTCACATATATTCCATCAGTATTTTAAAAAAATACTTAGACATGGTCCAAATAGAATAAAGAACTATAATACCTCAGCATGATAATATTTACAATTTCCTGAAGCTATGGTCACTTAAGGACTATCTTTCCAACATAATCCAGTTACAACACAATTAAAAATAATCTGAAGACAAAGCAAAGATCACTTAGTTCAGATCACATATCTAGTAAGAACTATAAAAATCATTTCAAAAGACCAACAATTTTAATATATTTTTTGAGAGTCTCTCCATATAATGCACTGCTCCAGATGATACAGGATACAAAGTTCTCATGGAATGTGCTTATAATCAGTTAGCAATTAGTCTCATTTGAGAAAATAGCATTTATCATCCAATTTCAGACTGTGAGGGTAATACATGTTTTTGGAGAAAAAGCCACTCCCACTTATTTGAGATGAGGATCATCTTATTTGAGATGAGGATCATTACTGGCATGTTTAAAGTCATTTACAAAGTAAGAAACCTAGGCCTAAAGTCCAATGTTTTGTCTCCCTAAGTCTGCTCCCTCCAACAACATATACTCTCAGTATAACATTCTACCATACACACAAAATATGAGGCACACTTTGTCATTTAAAAAACAGTATTATAAAGGAGTATGTGTAGGTTTTGGTCTTCAACTTACTTTCTTCACTCTCATTTAAGAAATACTGTTCCCTACACTGTCCCTTCCTCAAAAGCCTCTTCTAGGGAAAAGAGGATACAAAATTGGCAAATTTATTAATAACACAGTGATCCAACCCTCTTCACAAAGGGTTGTGAAGTAATTAAAAAATTGTTATACCTTTTTGTGGTTATCACCATGGTATGACCAGCAAAATTTAAAAGACTTCATGTATTCAGAAACGGATTGTTGACTAAATATAAGCACGGATAAGATGAGAAATCACTTATTCTGGGACCTTATAAGTACGCATCTAGATCACTATATACCTATACTTTTATATATCTGTATCTATACCCAAAAGTTATATTAATACTACACAACGCTCTTTCAGAAACTTCACTCATATCCATTTCCACAAGATCCTCAAAATATTCAAAGTAAAACGGTTAGCCTAAGTTTTGGAAGGTCTGGAAATACTTCAGAAGACATAAGCCCTTCTTTACAAAGATGCCCTACTTAGAGCTCCTCTTAGGACATAATCTCCAGGTACTAAAGTCTTTGACTGGTGGAACACATGTCTTTAAAGTTATGGATGGCACTGGAGTTAAATATTCGAATCTTTCTAAATTTTTTAATTTAGTTTTTTTGTTCTTTGATCTAATTTCAGAGTCCGAAGTTAAAATTATCATGTCAGTCTATTGGACTTTCCTAAGTCATTTAACTATATTTCTACTTTTTAAAGAACTTTCATGTTATGTGTTTGTATACACACACCTTTAATCTACATAAGAGAATATAAAGCAATGTCATTTTTTAATTTTTATTTTTTTTTGAGATGATAGAATCTCTGTCACCCAGGCTGGAATGCAGTGGCACAATCAGGGAATAGAACAAAGCTCACTACAGCCTCTAACTCCTGGGTTCAAGAGATCCTGCTGCCTCATCTTCCCCAGTATCTGGGACTACAGATGCACACCACCATATCTGGCTAATTTTTTTCATTTTCTTAGAGATGGGATCTTGCTCTGTGGCACAGGCTGGTTTCACACACTTGGCCTCAAATGATCCTTCTCCTTGAGCCTCCTGAGTAGCTGGGATAACAGGCACAAGCCACTGAGCTTGGCTGGCAGTGCCATTTTAATACACAGAATATATGTTTTATGTTCTATAAGAACAGATTATCAAATTTTTAGAAAGAAATATAATGCAAACATCTATTTCCTAGGCCATTTATGTTTACTGATTTGATCAAGTAGAACGAATGAGAATCATTTGGAAGGGGCAGAAGTATTAAAACAAAAATCAACAACTAAGGTACAATTCACATTTTTCCCCCTAATAGTTGAATAGCACAACTATACAAATCTGATTATTATTTTTCTCGTGTTAATTGTAAGAATTTTTAGGCTGGGCACTGTGGCTCATGACTGTAATCCTAGAACATAGGGAGGCTAAGGAAGGAAAATTGCTTGAGGCCAGGAGTTTCAGACCAGCCTGGGCAACATGGCAAGATGCTGTCTCAAAAAAAAAAAAAAAAATTAGGCAGGTATGGTGGTACATGCCTGTAGGTCTACCTTCTTGGGGGGCTAAGGTAGGAAGATCTCTTTAGCCCAAAAGTTGGAGGTTGCTGTGAGCTATGATGATGACATTGAACTCTAGCCTCGGTGACAGAGGGAGAGACTGTCTCAAAAAAAAAAAAAAAAACTGTAAAGTTTAGTTTCATTCAAATACAATTAGCCAGTTAACATGGTATGAATGGACAAATATTCTAATAAAATGCTAAAATATTTTCTAA